CACCACTGAGCCGACTACAACTGGTGTCTATTGACTATGTCCACCTTGAAAGGAGCAAAGGTTGGCTACGAGTACATTTCTGGTGGTTTGTGGACCATTTCACACGGTTTTGCTCAAGCATATGCCACCAGGAATAAGGCAGGGAGAACAGCAGCAGAGAAGCTCTTCAATGACTTCATTCCTAGATTTGGGTATCCTCTCAAGATTCACCATGATCAAGGAGCGGAGTTTGAAAACAGGTTGTTTCAACGCCTACATCAGCTGAGTGGAGTGTCGCCCTCGAGAACAACTCCCTATCACCCCCAGGGAAACGGTCAAGTGGAGAGGTTTAATCGGACTTTGCTAGCGATGTTACGTGCTCTCCCAGAATCCCAGAAGACAGATTGGAAGGCGTCTCTTAACAAGGTGGTTCATGCGTACAACTGCACCCGACATGAGAGCACCGGTTACTCTCCCCACTTCCTGTTGTATGGACATCACCCCCGACTGCCAGTGGACCTTATGTTTGGGATTGAAGACAAGGAGCATGAGGTTCAATCATATCCTGAGTATGTCAAGAGATGGAAAAGGGGCATGCAGGAGGCCTACAGGATTGCGAGTCAGCAGGCCAGGAAAACAAGTGCAAAAGGGAAGAAACAGTACGACAGAAAGGTGCACGGTCTCAGTCTGTCCAGTGGTGACCGGGTCCTTGTTAGAAATATGACAGACCGAGGAGGACCGGGCAAGTTGCGTTCCCACTGGGAGGACAAAATCCACATCGTTGTGAAGCAAAAAGGGAAAAATATCCCCGTGTATGAGGTACGCCCAGAGTGCCAAGAGGGAAGATCACGAGTGTTGCATAGAAATATGTTACTCCCATGCGAGGGACTGCCCCTAGAGGTCCCAGTTCCCAAACAGAGTAGAAGGAGAACACCTCAAGAGGAGGAGGGGAGAGGTAGTGAGAAAGAAGAAGCGGTGCCCAGCAGAGTAGAAGAAGATGAAGAGGCTGAACCTGAGAACCAGTCAGAAGCTGTGCCCAGCAGAGTAGAAGAAGATGAAGAGGCTGAACCTGAGAGCCAGTCAGGAGGCTCAGACAGCGATAGTGACAGCGAGAAAGAAGAATCTGCACTAAGTGGGGTTGAAGTTGAACATGATCAGCAGTTCAGTGGATCCCAAGATGGGGAGGAGGTACCAGAACTAGACAGGCCGAGACGAAACAGGAGACCCCCACAGACTTTAACATATGATAATGTAGGGGGAGACCCTGCTTATGTAAGAGTTCCGGCCGTAAACACAGTAGGGGCATGGCCCCAGTACACGGGGAACATGGGGATGTGGCAGCCCGGACAATTGTTTCATAGCTGTCCCCATTGCAGGCACCTCATTCCGGTGGTTCGCATGTATCTATAACCAAGAGACTGATGAATTCAAGCTATATGGACTCTGGTCTAGAACAATCAGTGGATTGAGACTGATGAATTCAAGCTATATGGACTCTGGTCTAGAACAATCAGTGAATTGTTGGAGCTAATCATAGTTAGCCGTGAAGTCTGAAGTTAGCTAGAAAGGGACAGTTGTAAATGCATGATATGAGTACGAGGAATACGTCAAGCAGTAATCAACTGTGTGAGGTCGAGATGACTTCTAGAGCAAAGAAACAGCTGTGCAGTAAGAAAGGTCATCATGACCTCTAAGTGACAAAAAGTAATGAGAGTCGAAGGAGAGATAAACTAGCTGAGTTTATAGATTTAGGAGTTAAGTAGTAACAATAAGGAGTTTATCTCAAGTTAATTCAAGATGTTATAAGTGCCAAATAAGAGATAAAAGGAAAGGACTAACACGATGTAGGGTAGATGCTAATGTTTATTATTATTTATACTCTTAGTTACATTGTTATTCCCTAAGTTTAACATTTCAGGATGCCTGTAGCTGGAGGAAATGAGTTACCTTATAGTATCGAGTTCCCAGTTTAACAGTTCTATGTGTTATTTACAACAGTTCAATAGTTATAGTCAAATGTCGGGACGACATCTCAGCCAGGGGGGGCGTGTGTTGCCATGTAGAAATAACCCCCTTTAGGATAATGGTTTGATCCGATGTACGCATGCGTACTGCGCAGTTGGTTTGAGAGAACAAAGAATACACTCAGTCGTCTCTATGCTCTGGCTTCGCTGGTCGTAATTGCGTTGTCATCTGGAACAGGAACTGTGATCTGGAACGAGGATTGGTAGGGTAACATAATCACAAGACGTGGTGACGGCACACTCGTTTTTCAAACTTATATTATCCAACACAGGGGACAATACTTATTTTCACCTGAGCGAAGTGAGGAAAGTCGTGTAAAGTGCCTTTCCCAAGGGCACAAGATCTCTAGGTTCAGAGTCGAGCACTCTGCCGCTACACCACACGACCCCAATATCGGGTAAGTTGTGGTACGTTATAATTTTCTAGACATTTTATTGCCCAAAGAATGTGATGCAAATAACGAACAAAACACTACCAAGTTTAACTGTGCCGGTGATGACGTCACGGCCAACGGGCAGTCTCAGTTTTGGCAAAGTTGAAAACTCAGCATCCAAAACTCACGCGCACGGAGGTACTCTCCAAGCAGAGGTTGTGGGGGAATGATCGTTAGCTTTTTATATATGGCCGTTTTTTTTTGTCGCTAATCCCACCCGTCGGTGGCTGTGGCCCTTCTCTGGCTAATGGATACTGCCTGGCTAATTTGACACCGAGAGGGATCTGCTTGGAGATTACACGGAGGATGTAGCTAGGCGGGCGGTAAGCCGTCATCAGCGCCCACAAAGCAAAAACCTCGGCCCACGAACATCACATACGTAACACAAACTCCACATAGAAAAAGCCAGACACAACCGCATTCCTCTAGAGCAAAGGATTTGCCAATTTTGCGATTTAAATAAGATTGAGGATGAGTATTTTTTCGTCGTCGATTGCACGTTTTATAGTAATGAGAGATTTCCTATATTCTTATATAATAGATAAGTTCCCCAGCTTTGGACGTTTAAATGAATCAGAAAAATTCATATTTCTTCTGAAACTTGACAAACCATATATTATTAGTTCTATATGCTCGTACATCTATGGCTGCGTCAAGAAGCGAGAAGAAGTCGAACAATGTAAATAGTAGATCACATTAGTATGTATAGTTTAAGTGTCATTGCTGTATCCTTTTCCTTGTCTAATCATGACCTGTACTTAGCTTGTTAGAGCACAAACGTACAATAAAGGTCTTTCATTCATTCATTCATTCATTCATTCATTCATTCAATAACAACATATGACATAAGGGGACCCGTGGTGTGTGTTTTATGGTGGCAGGCTACCCAATGTGTAAAAACTATTTACGTATGGGTCTGGTAAGAATACCATTTATTGTTTCGATTTCCTTTTTAACATCATTCCAACAATTTGCCGTGATATATATAAAGAAGGAACTGTCGCATGCTATGGTTTCTTCACAATAACAACATTTTACATACATTCTGGAAAACACAAAGATTGTTTTGACAGTTGAGTAATAGTTGCAAAAAAATCACGGGATTTCGAATGGTTAATAAACCACCACTGACATTGTCAAACTTGTGGGCGTCATACTAGTCATTCACGGCCGACTTCCACTGTATAGCTATGGTATTGAGTGAAATATAATAATACAAATAGTAGATCAACTGTCTACGTTCTTCAATAATGATATTTCTCCATATTGTCCATATGTATTGATTATTATGTTTTTACTACGTTTCTTCTTCTGTTCCAAACACTAACCTCTGACCTGGCCAATGGCCTGATTTGTTGATGTCTGTCACCATGGTGACTGGTGTTGGGTTACATAATGTTGCAATTTTATAGGAAGGATGTAGACTCCTGTCTGACCATATATATAAATGTTACATGTATTTGAGTAAGAAAAGCAAACCATGTGCGAAGGTAAACATGATGCATTTGCTTTGCAAATGTTACCTTTCTAGTTTATATATCATGTGTATGAGCATTTAGAAAGAAACATCTAGTGATTTTGATAGGCCGTGAGCAATCTGTAGGCAAGACAAGCTGTAGTGACGACATTGCGGTTGGACAGGCCACACATCCATGGCTAAAACAGGACTGACGACCTCTGCTCCTCGCCTCCGACCTGCTCGAAGAACATGAAGTCGATGAGGAAGAGCGCCCCCAGCAGCGTGGCCTTGACCTTGACGTCCAGGTCCATGGGGAACTGGATACCGAGGTTGTCTGCGTCTGTGAAGGCCTCCTTCAGCAGCCCGCTCCACTGTTTGGAGATCTTCCCTACCTGTAGACGGGACACAACGTTGTTAATTCATCTGTAACATTCCTGGCAAGTAACGTAGTCTACACTTCTTTGTTTAGAAGTCATAGAACATGTTTTGTATAATTAAGTACAACTGCTCACTGTACACTTCATGAGTATAGTTTAGCGTAATGCCAGAACGTACATGTAGAGTCGAAATATTTTCTAGACAGTAGTTCTTTATAACACTCTGTCAGACACAGTAACCGTTGACCATATATGTAGCATCATGATAGACTCATACCAACTAGTAATCTTATTATTTGCCATACATTGTACCCGTGACAATCGTTGTGCAATAAACTTTGACTTGACTATCGCTTATAGTCACTCACTCCTGATCACTCACTCAAGTCCGCATGCCCCTGGAGGAACATGCGGACCTGAGTGAGTGAATGAGTGACTATACTAATCTCTCTCCGCCGGTGTGCGAAACCAAATACTTCGACCTACTAACATCACACACGCACGACTCGAATACTGTGTATGTGCACCTTAGCGCACCCAAAATTGAAGCTGTGCACCCATTTTTTTCTATGGGTGCACCAGTGCACCCAAATATTTTCGTAGGTTTACGTAGGTAAAGAAGTTAAATGTAACTACAATGTATACAGCATACCCTTGTGTCAGAGAAACAAGAAAATCTTTGTTGTACTATTTTTGTTTAGAAATAAAACATAAGTTTTTGCTGACATTCCATTTATTCTATTTTATATGGTGCACCCGAAGAAAATTTTTTGCACCAACTTTTTTAGGTTGGGTGCACCAGCCCTGCACACGTCATAACAACGTGGTTTGTTTTATGGAAAAAGGAAAGTGATCTAGATTTAGCTCATTAAAGAGCTCCGACTGGTCGTGGTAAAGAAGAGAGACGTTACATGTAAGTACAGTACATGTATATATAGGTTCCCCTAGACGTTTCCAAAAAGCACAATGGACAGTGGCTTAATAATTTCTTGTCTTAAGGACTGCGACCATTTACAGTAGCGTATATATCGAACGAGCGACAACAGCCGGGATTCAAACTCCCAACCTCTTGGTCCAGAGGCCGTTCAATAATGATTTGCATCTGCGTCACGGCAATCCATTAATTTTGAAATTCTAAGTGTAGCAATTTGAAATACTATACTATGACTTCCAAACTGTGCTTCAGAAGCAAAACTACATTATGTAATATTAGGACGATACAAAAAGTAAATTTCGGGTCATCCCTTTACAAAGTAAGCTGAATCAGCCCTACTTCATTGAGAATAAGTGTCATTCAGGAAGTGGAGATGCCAAATTATGACGTTTTACGAGTTTGTTTAAATTAAAAGCTTGAAACACAGCGGTCAGAAATGTTGTTTAAATTCTGGCAGTTTGTGGTGGCACTACAAATAGAGTACGCCTCGTATGCACACGTGTGCTGTTTAATTGCCAACAAGAAATACCAGAAATGTGATATAATTGCACAAATATGATGAAAAATGGAAGTGAATCGCAAACACGATAATACAAGTAAAAATATTTAGATTTTCCGTGCAAAAATGTTGACAAAATGTTTCATAATGCCCCTTTCAACTCATTTTCCTTAGCCTCCATAGCACGCCAAAACTGGGAGTTTGGCGGTCTTCATGGTCTTTGGGAGCTTTTATGTGCTATTTTCTGATTGCATATAGACAACATAGCCGGCCTGGTTGAATTACCCCCGTTTTTTTTAACTGGGCTAATCAGGAACCAAGGAACCACGCGCCTACGGCGCTCGAGGTCCCCTCAAGCAGCGGGAAGACCCCCCCCCCAATTCAAAATCCTGGCTTCGGGCATGCGAAGACCACCAGCCCCTCAGTTCTAAGCCTGTTACGGAGGCTACATTTTCCTCGCCTTTTGAGACTCGTCAGGAACCATGACGTCGAACTCCACGTCCCCGCAGAAGGAGCAGCTGAGACACGGGCCCTCGATCACCAGCACCACGTCACCGGCAGCGTCTTCTATCTCAAACTTGGGCAGGAACGGGTGCCAGATCTGCCGCACCCACCCCACCGTCGTGCCGGGAGGGGCCTGCACCTCCAGCTCCTGGAACAAACGATTGGAGGTAGAAAGAAATTTGGAAGCGGCGTTATGCTGTTATGAATACTGTTTAGAACAATACCTAGAACACTGTGACTTCGAGCAGCGCTCAGCTATTAGTAAAATTAGAATCAGTGCCCACCCCTTGGAAATCGAAAAAGGGCGATATATGAAAGTTCCTGTGTCGGAGAGAATTTGTAAATATTGCTCCTCAAATGCAGTGGAAGACGAAATTCATTTCACCTCTAACTGTCCATTTTATGATGACATCAGAAAACAATTATTTAGCACCGTGTCCAAAATGCTCCCTTACTTCCCCACCATTCCCTATCACAAAAAAATAATTTTACTACCAAAATCAAAGGACCCACATATTATAGAAGAAGTGGGTAAATTCGTCTTCCATTGCCTAAAAAGAATACGTCAAACCCAGTAAAACTAGTACCATGTATGTTGTAGAATATAGTATAATGCTAGACGTAGATATAGTCTCACATACCACTGTATTTTCTTTCTTATGTTGTTGGTAATCTGCAATTAGCCCTCGGGCAAGTATTTGCAATTAACTTTCATTATTAGCTTCATGTTAATTATCTGAATAGTACCACTCATCCAACTGCTCTTATGTAACATGTGGACATATCCATAATGAATCGTAGAAAGGGTCCCTGAAAAATCTTCGTCAGCAAAGTCATGCAAGCCAACTGGTTGGTTAAAGAGGCAGTAAAACTGGGTTTTCAAAGTCATTATGTTTACCGAAGGAAAACATATTGTTTTTCCTCTGTTTCCTCTTCCTCTTCTTCTCCAAACACTAACCTCTGACCTGGCCAATGACCTGATTTGTTGACGTCTGTCACCATGGTAACTGGTGTTGGGTTATGTAATGTTGCAATCTTATAGTTAGACTCCTGTCTGACCATATATATGAATGTACATGTATTTGAGTAAGAATTAACAGATCAGACCATATGCGAAGGTAAACATTATGCATTTGCTTTGTAAATGTTACCTTTCTAGTTTTTAATGACCTTATCCCACAGCACACTGATATCTGTGAGGTAAAGGTGCGATGTCACTGACTGGAAACGGTTACGTTTTTTCGTATCGTAGGCTAGTTCGAGCTATTTATAGGTGGCACCAACAAATAAAGGGACTTCTCACGTAGCTTATTTTAGGTCTTTTTTAAATGCCCCATGCACAAAGTGTGCTAAGAAATGACAACATATGCCAATATCATAAAGATTTCCTCATCCAAAATAGTTTGTTTTTGCCATCCTGAAATTCAATTGGATGCCTTTAAACCCAGCAGTCACATATAATCATGTATGTAATGAAGTTTTTTACACGACTGTAATCACAAGTACACAACATAATTTATCTTGACAATACTTCACACAGTTTTACATTGGAAAAACCTGGCCAATGTGTTCATGTTTTTGTGAACCATAAAATTTAAAGCCCCCCCCCGACCACTGAACGATTGTTGTTCTTATTTATTCATTAGTTTATTTATCTATCTATGACCGTGACCATAACCTTTTCAAGATGTCAACCCCGAGACCAGACAGGTTTGAACCAGTCACACCAGGAAGGACCCCTACTCTTTTCGATAAGTGTGGTGGGATCTTTAACGCGTTCAAGGTGTGACTCTCCTTAAACATGGGACCTCCGACTTTACGCCAGGAGGTATTTAAAAGTGCCTTTTCCAATGGCACAACACATGAACAGTGAGGCGATTGAGGTCTGTTAGGGATTCGAACCCAGAACCTTCAGATACCAAGTCAACAACCCTAACCACACTCCCGCCTTACCAGCCTATTGTCTGCACTAGCGTAGCCTCTACCAGGCACCGCGGACTAATCTCCAAGCAGATCTTTTGGTGGGGGTAAGACAGTATCAAATTGGCCATCTGTAACCATTTCCCACCCAAGTGATTATTGTGTTTGTGGCTTGTGAGCAAAATAACTCGAGTATATTCAAACAGATGTTCATGATTTTTGGTAGGCAAGCTGCTATTGTAAAGGCCAAGGGCAAGTTCGAAAACAGGCCTCGTGGGGGGTCCCTATGTCGCTGCAGTGGACTTTTTGTGGTAGTGGGTTGGGAAATGGTTACAGACTGGCCAATTTGATGCTGTCTTACCCCCACCAAAAGATCTGCTGGGTCGCGAATCGGATCTATCTTCTATGGTCCGGGATCTTCTCTGGTATACTATCCCTTTATTTCGGCCAATTTCTACTATTTTTCCAGCGATCCGCGGTGCCTGGTAGAGGCTAGTACAAGCGGTGACCATTCCTTACCTGCAGACAGCAGACCCAGAAACAGTTCATACAGCGCAGAGGACGGCTAAAGTGGATGATTTCCTGCTGAGAGTTGTCGAAAACCTTCATCTCGAAGGAGCGGACGTTTCCACAACATTGGCGGGTGCAGCAGTCGTTGTCCTCGGCGGCAAAGTAAACCTGTTGTCCCATGGCGTTCTTGATTTTGTACTTGTTGTCACCTTCTATTCCTACGAACGCCTCCAAAAGCTCCACTTGTTGTTTCACCAGGAGTTGATCGATCTGAGAAAAAAAGGTACAGCACGAAAACATGTCTAAGTACAGTAAGTACACATATAAAGAGCTATTAAAGGCGTGGAATATTTCCGCAGACTTCACGATTGCGGAAAGGCAATTAAATGACAAATGTCTCATTTCTGGATCGAACTCTGCTAACATGGAGCCGCCAAACTCTGCTAAACCCTGTTAAGCTCCTCTAGTCTGAAAGTGACGTGACGGATAATCTCCAAACAGATCATGCGGCAGCAAGGCACTGCCAACTGGCCAGAGCAGTCACCGAAGCTAATGGAGCTCCTACAAAGAAGTATATACATTTATTTATTTTTATTTATTTATTAATTTTTACCACGTACAATATGCACTGTGGATGGCATGGTGAAACAGGTGTTTCTGACATGAAACACCTTTTCAAAGCCGCCATACCAATAAAATGACAAAACAATACAAAAAGTAATCAAATCACATAATACAATTTGAGAAACAAATGAATAAACTTAGAACTACAAGACAAGTCAACTTATTAACATTGTGAGATTAATTGATTCGAGACAACAAATAACGACAGTGTGTGTATGTGTATGTATATGTGTATGTGCATGTTTATGTGTATGTGTATGTGCATGTGTATGTGCATGTGCATGTGCATGTGCATGTGCATGTGTATGTGTACGGATAAAAACGTTTCATGCAGGCAAAGTGAACCAAGTGTTACAAACCACATCTATAGTCCATGGAGATAGTAGAGTCTACTATCTCCATGGACTATAGATGTGGTTTGTAACACTTGGTTCACTTTACCTGCATGAAACGTTTTTATCCGTACAAATACACATGTATATACTTCTTTGTAGGAGAGTAGAGGTCTTTTTTTGTTGAAGGTGACGTGAACAATGTGCATGTATCCATTGTTAATGGGTGTATCTCCATGGAGCTATATCTGTAGTGGTCAAATCTATGTGTGCATCCATAGTGAATGGAGCCGCAAAACACTGAGGAGCTCCTCCATACCGCTGTACCGCTGTATTTTTCCTAAAAGGTGACGTGAACCATGTATATGTATTCATAGTGCGCGTACAAAAATGTCTCAGGGCAATATTAATCGCCTCCGTGGAGCTAGATGTAGACGGCTAATGCAGCTCCGCCGTGCCTCCTGTACAGGCCTCCGGGCGGGTGCACAGTGGGGCGGGTGGGAGTTTTGATCCTTGCCACTTGCCGTGGCGGGTAGCCTCCTTTTCAGGCGTTCCCGGAACGGTCGTTCTGATCAAACGTCTGGGCGGCTGGTTGTAGGATAGCCGGCAAAAGAACGCGTTAAAAAATCTACAAAACGCAGTATCAAAACACACCCGCCTGGAGGCCTGCCCTGTAGGGCAAACTGTGTATAATGTCCTTGCTGATACCAAGGACATTTTACACGAAGCAGTACTTCACAGAAACAATAATGGTGAAAATAGCCTTGCAACCTTCATTTTCATATTTTCACAACTTGCGCCATGATTGGTTAAACCTGCAAGAGTCAAACCTGTGAATCTGCATGTTCGTGTCATGATTACTTATCTGTGATTACAAAATACATGTACACAATCACATGTCAGGCAGGCAATTAAAGTCATGTGCAAAATTGGTACCAATTGGTACCACTTACTGGCATTGGTGAACTAGCTGGCTAGCAATACCATTGTCGCCCTTTTGATTTGTTTTAAAAACATCTTTTTTAAATCCATAAATCCCACGTTCTCTGCTCCGGGTTCTAAAACATATAACATATATAATTTCAGCCTCCAACCGGTTGCCGGTTGGTAATATTTCCAATCGTTGGTGTACGCGCTCTCTTCAGTTAATAAGGCCACATCGTCTTAATTTAATGGATGACATCCTCTGAAGACCCCCAAACTAGTGCGGGCGAGCGAATAAAAAGAAATTCCATCCAAAAATAAAAATGCTACTAAACCACAGGAATAAAAAGCTGTTATTGTGAATTTGCGGCAGTACGTAGAGACGTATACGACAAGCCGGCACATGCTGGCCTTTTGCGGAATTTATGAATCGGCACTATACGTATGTACTGAGTTCTTGAGTCGGGGAGCTTCGGTAGCCTGGGTACCCGGCTCCGTATTGTCGGTAACTACCACGGACTACCCAGGCTTAGAGCCAGGCCAGGGCCTCGGTGGACGTGAGAACAGGCGAAAATCAATGCGCGCGCGGATGTCATCCATAAAATTAAGTCGGTGTGGCCTAACTATGAAATGTTAAATTATTAAACAACATATCGTGACGCTAACATTTATGCTGTCATCGTGGAGAATTAAGAATTATTGATTGAAGCTGGGTAAAAGGGATGACATGTAGGTTATCACGTAATGGTGGTCCTGGTGAGTGTCTGTAGTTAGGCCACAGCAAGTAATTTTTATGGATGACATCAGCGCGCGCATTAATTTTCGCCTGATTTGGGAAAAAAACAAGAAGTTTTGTTGCCTTCTGACAGTGGTCAACATGCCGAAAATGGGCAAAGATGTCTGTTGCCATGCCGGAACATGGATGGCAGATAACTATGAAGAGAGGAGACAAGAAAAGGCTGATTTAATGTTTTGTTTCTTACTTTGATGCAGTGATATGTGATGCTGGCTGTATATATGTGATGTTCCTACTGAATCAAAACCATTTGTACAATGATTGAGTCAAAATTTTGACATGTAGGAACCTTGTTTTTTTCGGCCCGCCTTGTTTTTTTTCGCCCGCTCGCATTAGATTTGGAGTCTGCGGAGGATGTCATCCATAAAATTTACTTGCTGTGGCCTAATGGTGGTCCTGGTGAATGTCTGTAGCTATAGTGTAGTTTGTGTGTGCGACTCAAGCGGTATTATAGACAAAAGCAGCCATGCCCCCCATTTTTTGGATATTAGAATTACAGCGTTTATGTTCTGCAAAAAGGCAATATTCCTTATCTTAGGCCTGGAAAAATGTTGTGTTCTGCTTACCCGACCATAGCAAAAACCCAAAGGCTTTTTTTTTGGGGGGGGGGAGTCGTCCGCCAATTTTCAATCTGACATAGGTGCGGTGCTTACTGGTACACTGGACAGAATGAGATTTTTCAGGACCGTAATAGGAAATCCTTGCCTTTATATATGTGTTTGGTTTGCCGCTATGCTAATTTAATTACGGAGAAACGTAATGATGACGTCTAATACAGAATCGGCCCTGGCTGCGGACCCTGTTACACGAATGGCCGTTTAACCTTTGCGTCACGTAGTATTTAAACCCTGCTCTAGATCTTTTCCTTGTAATCTTGCCAGAACACCCTGCATGACACGTAAACATGAGCTCTATGGTGAAACTGCGGTCCTATATTTAGAATCTGAGACTTAATCTTCAAGCAGATGTTAGGGCGAAAAATACGTTCTCTACATGTCTACCCCTCAAATATTGACACTGACCCCTGACTTGTCGGTTATGTTTTGATTGTTCTTTTTAAGGATAATATCTATATTGATAATATTTTAAGAATAACCTGCTAATCCCCTCAAGACTAGGTTCTGTTAGCTATAAGAAACGTCAGAATATTTCCACCACATCATCTGCTCGAATGTTCCTGAAGGAAGGATGACGGTGCCTTACCTCACACAGATACTCCAGTCCGGGGGGACATCCCGGCGGGCCTCGTGTCGGCGGCTGCATCCACTGGACCTGTCCCGGCGGCGGGCCGTACCCGGGCTGCGGGCCGTACCCGGGCTGGGGCCCGCCATAGCCGGCCGGCTGGGGAGGGGGAGGGTAGCCCTGCTGTGGCGGAGGGTACGCTGGTTGGGGAGGGGCGGGGTATCCCTGCTGCGGTGGGGGGGCAGGATACCCCCCTGCTGGAGGGAGGGGGTATCCAGGTTGAGGGGGTGGGTAACCCTGGGCGGGAGGGGGGTACCCTGGATACCCGGGCTGCCCTGTACCGGAATCCGGCTGGTACGCCATCTATAGCTGTGAGGCTGTCAGAACGCGCATGAATAATAGATCCGTCCCGGGGGATCCTGCTTGTCGTACTGAATCAAGTTGCTAGATGGCGCGCATGTAACGTTACATAGCTCCACAACCCCACACCTTCTGGGAAATAATTATTAGCTCCCTAACCCTCAGAAAATGATCACGTAATTTGCAGAATATGTGACTATATAACTAGTAATATATAACTAGTATAGTAATATATATAACTGTATATAACTAGATGCTGTGTGTTAGTATTTTTGCTACCGTTAGTTCATTTTTGATATATTCCCTGTGTGTCGTATGTGTGTACATGTCAGAATGGACCACAGGAAGAATAGCTACAGTTTGTAAATGTGGATCCTAATAAAGTCAAAGTCAAAGTGAGGTATTTACAATTGGAACTACAAGGGGATTTCTTGTGAAATCTTGTGGATAAATTGGATAGATGGGGGATAAATCATGAAAGGAACAACGGATTTTTATCATTTTGGTATGTATGTTGCTAAGACAGACATGCACACAATGAGAAATAAATTATGTAAATGATGCATGATTGATTGGGAAATTTAAAAATTCCATTGCTGTACATGATAGGACTTTAATATATGAAATGTATGTAATCTGTGGGAAGCAGAACATCATCAAATGAAAATTGTGCATAATTACTGCAAACATGCCATGATTCGCTTTGGTAAGTGATTAACATTTTATACTTGTGACTCGTGTATGTTAGTTAAAGGTAACATACCTATACATATATCATGTTAATGTGGGTCATTTGCATAATTGATAAAATGTTGGAACAAAACTTTGTAAAGGATAGGGCTTTCACATATAATTATAGAGAAACCGTGTATAAACTAGAAAGGCCAACATTTGCTTCGGAGCAAATGTAATATTTCACTCCATGCCCCTCCCCAAACAAAAATAGAAGATTCAAAATAAATCATACTGCAATTATACAAGGACAAGCACTTTGAATCTTGACAGCTTTATTTACAAAAATGGCACTTGGCTATTATCTCCCAATTTTTTTTTACAAAGATACAAGGACAAGCACTTTAAATCTCGACAGCTTTACTTAACACTTATCTTAACCTCAAAGTTACATATTGCAGGTATCTAAATACTACTAATGACGAGATTGTAACTACTACTAACGGTAGCAAAATTTTCACGGTCTGAGAAAAATGGACATGTTCAAGGTGGTGACAGATGCAGGAAAAGAAAGTCCAGGAATTATTTCCTAACCAGCCTCTGAACACCAGGAATTGCTGGTTGACCACTTGATACAAACTTGTGATAAGCTTAAGGTGCAGTACCCAGATGTCGGCCTTATGCTCATGGGTGACCTAAATAGAACAGATTTCAAAACCCTGTCCCTATCCCACAGCTTAGACCAAGTTGTCACCACGCCCACTCGGGGGGAGGCCATCTTAGATGTAATCCTCACAAACCTTAAGAAGTACTACCTGACCCCAGAGGTTACTAGTCCCATAGGAAGAAGTGACCACTGTGCTGTTCTGTGGCAACCTAAAAGTATTCCCAAGAAACCTAATAAGACTAGATGGGTAGTGTCCCGGCCCATGCCAGATTCCAGGATACGTGAGTTTGGCCAGTGGATTGTAACTCACGAATGGTTAGAAGTCCACACTGCAGTCTCAGCTGAATCTAAGACAGCAGCCTTTTACAACACTTTGAATACTGCCTTGGACAAGCACTTCCCACAAAAACGCACTAAAGTACATAATAATGACAAACCGTGGATCTCTACAGTAGTCAAATCCCTAATACTGAAGAGACAGGAAGCACACAGATATGGCCATAGGCACCTGTACAAGTTCCTTCGTAATAAGATTGCCCGTCTTATTTCTACCTCAAAGAAAAACTACTATGCTGACCACATAGAACATCTTAAGAAAACCAAACCAGCACAGTGGCACAAAACGATCAGACATTTGGCAAACTGGTCCAGACCGAGTTCAACAATCCATGTACCTGGATTCGAACCGACTAATACATCAGGAGCAGCTCAAGCAATAAACAGTCACTTAGCAGCCATTTGTCAAGCCCTTCCCCCACTTGACTACTCTAGACTCCCTGCATACTTACCAGCCCTACCCCCACCCCAAATCAACCCATGGGACATGTATCAACGACTACAACGTGTTAAAGTATCTAAGGCCCCTGGCCCTGACCTTATCCCACCCAAATTAATCAAAGAGTTCGCATACGAACTCTCCACCCCCCTAACTGATATACTAAACACTTCATTGAGAGAGGGCAGGGTCCCTGAAGTGTGGCGTGATGCCACAGTAATCCCAGTGCCTAAGGAATACCCAGCGGACTTGAACAAGATCCGGCCAATCTCACTGACCGCACAGTTTGCCAAGATCTGTGAGGGTTTTATCAGCACATGGATTTTTTCGGACATCTTCCCTAACGTAGACATAAAGCAATTTGGTAACATGAAGCGTTGCTCAACGACTCATTGTCTTATAGACCTCCTAAATTTCTTCTATGAGGGAGCTGAGAGGAAAAGCACTGTTGGCACATTAATACTAACTGACTTTTCGAAAGCATTCGATAGAGTCTGTCACACCACTGCCATTAACAAACTTATATCCATGGGCACAAGACCCTCACTGATCCCCTGGCTCTGTAGTTTTGTGTCAAACAGAAGGCAGCGTGTTAGGTATCAGGACTCTATATCGAGCTGGGAAACACTAACGTGTGGAGTGGCCCAAGGTACTCTACTGGGCCCACTGGTGTTCCTCGCCATGATCAATGACGCAAAACCTAATACTAATAATCCACACTGGAAGTATGTCGATGACATGAACCTGGGAGAAGTTAGAACTGTGTCAACCCCAACTAAACTTCAGACTGACCTTGACTCATTGGACACCTGGGCCGAAACGAACTCCATGTTACTTAACCCCAAAAAATGTAAAGCAATGTATTTCTGCTTCATGAGAACCCCCCCAGTAATGCAGCCACTGACTCTCGGAGGTCAGCCACTTAGCATAGTTACACAAGCAAAGTTACTTGGTTTGCACATACGCTCTGACCTACGGTGGTCTGATCAAGTTGACGCCATGGTGTCCAAGGGCAGTAGAAGGTTATACTTATTAAGTAGGCTGCGTCGAGCTGGCCTCCCAAGCTCTGACCTTGTCACAGTGTATTGTGGGTATATTCGACCAATAGTTGAATATGCCACGCCCTGTTGGAATGCGGGTATCACAAAAAAACAATCTGACAGCATAGAAAGAATCCAGAAAAGGGCATGCAGAATCATGCTGGGTAGAAGCTATCACTCGTATTCCGAGGCCCTGTCAACTCTTGACCTCCAACGTCTGTCTGAACGGAGACTGACCCTGTGCCGGGCCTTTGCCCTTTCAGCCACTAGGTCTAGGCACGCCCCCTGGCTACCCCCAGTTAGTAACCACTCACACAACATGCAGCTAAGGCAAACACGGCGCTACAAACCACCCATTGGGACAAAAAGATATTTATGCAGTCCTGTCCCCACAATGCTGAACATACTGAATAACCTTGCCATACAGTAGATTTCATTTTATGTTGTTGCACATGATGTAATTGTACTTTTTTATTATTGTCAGTTGTACCTAAGTAATTTGCCAACAGAAGTTGTATGATGTAATTTTAGCATAAATGTGTATTATTCTAGCGTATAAGTGGTGTTTAATGCCTCTCAAGGCACTTTTTATGTATATATATTATGTATTAGTCATGTAATTTTTTAAAAATTTGTAAAAGCTTCTCAATTCAGCCTTTGGCTGCAAAAAGCTTCTAACCTACTGTACTATGTATGTATGAAGTATGTGTTTCTGCAAATAAACCAGTCTATAAGTTCACGGTACAGAGGTGACAGTGAAAACCGTGAACATTAATCTCCCGCTTGCGTTGCGGTACAGTGAAAAAAAATCGGGAATTACAGTAATAAATTTACGGAGTATGTTTACTTAGTTTCCAGATGTTTTGTATGATTGTCGTAAACTTAGTTTGGAAATGAACGAAAGCCGATGCGCGCACAGATGTCATCCATATAATCAAATCAACATGGCCTTATTTACAATCACAAACTATGAAACCATACATTGAATAAGCTATACATATACTATGATTATCATAACCTTTATTTTTAAAATCATGCCGGTGAGCTAATTGCATGTACAGAGTGAAAGAAAGTAAAGTAAAGCAGTAGAATTTCTGTACTAGCTATAATAGTGCTCCATATGATTCGTCCTCATCATCATCATTCAATGTGGTCTTTCTCTCGCTACTAGTGAGTGGTAATACCTCTGTAGATTCTTCACACTGGCAGAGTACCGTATTCCTTCTCTCTTGACAGCTCCATACTTTTGTGACAACATCAAAGTAATTTTGGTTTGTATGTTGGAAAAATACAAAAGACTAGCATTCTATTATTATTGACAGTCTTGAGTAAGAACAATCAGTTTTTGAATGTTAAACAACGGATATTAAAAAGAAAATGTTAAAATTAAATGTTAAAATTGTTAAAATGTAAAATGGTTAAAAATGTTAAATGTTAAAATTGTTAAAAATGTTAAAATTGTTGAAAATGTTAAAATTGTTAGAAATGTTGAAATGGTTAAAAAAATATTCGATATACCGGGGTTCGAACTTGCAATGCCTGGAATTGCCGCCTTGCGCGTTACGAACCGAGCTAACTAGGTACGATTCCATTACTAAGTGTTTCACCGCGTTTGTAACTTTTTGTTTACTCGCGGGGCGCAGGTCATTGACCTCCCGCTTTCGTTGTTCCAACAGAGAAGAGCAAAATGTCTGGCAGTTTTAGCGTCAGATTTTCAGTGTTTGTTAAATCATGTACAGGCATCCATGCACCTATCATTCTTCCAACTAGTTCGTACGTAGTTAGGTGAAATGTTTATTGGAATCACACGAATCAGTATCAAATATGAAAGTGTCAAATGGTAAAAATCAATCGCCTACGGCCAAAACCGCGTTGACCCGCCGCGCTGATAATCCCCCGTATTGTCCACAAATTGTCAACAAATACGTGAAAAAAGGTGGAATAAGTGTCATGTAAATCTCAAAATACAAAGGCTGCTCATTAACGACCGAAATCTCGCGAAAGATTTCTTACGCAGACGTTTCGCAGCGGCGTTTCCCATTACCAGTTCTGCGAAAGTTCTGCGCATTCTCCCGCAGGACGTCCCGCACTCTCCCGCAGAACGTGCCGCACTCTCCCGCTGAACGTACCGCACTCTCCCGCAGGATGTCCGGCACTCTTCCGCAGAACGTACCACACTCTCCCGCAGGACGTCCCGCACTCTCCCGCAGAACGTACCGCACTCTCCCGCTGAAAGTACCGCACTCTCCCGCAGGATGTCCGGCACTCTTCCGCAGAACGTACCGCACTCTCCCGCAGGACATACCGCACAGGGTACCGCACTCTCCCGCAGAACGTACCACACTCTCCCGCAGAACGTACCGCACTCTCCCGCAGAACGTACCGCACTCTCCCGCATAACGTACCGCACTCTCCCGCAGGACGTACCGCACTCTCCCGCAGAACGTACCGCACTCTCCCACTGGACGTACCGCACTCTCCCACTGGACGTACCGTACTCTCCCGCAGGACGTACCGCACTCTCCCGCAGAACGTACCGCACTCTCCCACTGGACGTACCGTACTCTCCCGCAGAACGTACCGCACTCTCCCGCAGAACGTACCGCACGTTGAAAGGGGGTGCTAGCATGATCAATGAAAAGACTGTATTGAATGCATGATTTGGTTATAATGTACAGTAGAGGAAAAAGACTGAGATGTATGAAGGATATTGTTTCCAAATATTTTGATAAGGAAATTTTGCATTGGATAATATTATGAAGAGTTTCAGATGTCCAACCTTGTCAAGAAATGTCACCAATAAAATCAACTTCTAGTATGACATTGTGTCCTCCAACATATTTGATTACACTAGTATATACTAGTAGTTAGAATGAAACAAACCAGACTTTATTATGAAGAAATGGCTTTTAGCTAAAGGTTACACCAATTTGCATATCCTTGGTTTTCTGACATTCTGAAGTAAATTTCGGCATCAGCAAAACGTGAAAACAGAGGGCTGGGAAGAAACTTGGATGGGAGAAATTACAGCATATTTAACAATCTCTATCTCTGATAAAAATTTTGTGCCAAACAGCTACCTTAGCAGACTGTCAATATTCTTTCCATTTCGGAACCAACATGGCGTAAGCTAGACATAAAATAAATCTTCTGTAGAATTCCTGGTACCGATGAAAGATCCTTGTACATGTATGATTTCAGAACACTATAATCCTATTGGCTGCCAGGATCCCACCCAACATAGCAGCTGGACCAGGGAATGACACGTTGCACAAATTTCACAAGTTTTGAATAGGCCACGTCAATACAGTTTCCTGGTTCTTGACATTTAAAAAAATGAGAAACTGTATTTAATATGACCAGGAGTTCAGCACCAAGGACAGGTACTACACATTGATTCAAGTTGCTGAATTTTTGATAAAAATGTCAGAGAACCAAGGAAATACATTGGTATAGAAAAAAGATGAATAAACATCTTTGCAACTCAAGGCTTGGCAAGATCAGATGAGATGAAAGATAGAAGTTCAATGTGTGCACGCCAACGACAGTTTTTCATCTACTTATTAGTCTACCAGTTGAGACAACCCCACCTGAGTTGGGAGCACCACACCTCAAATTCACCCAGCGCCGACCGGAGAAAACCTGTTTTTCCTGACCAGAAATTTTGCCAGCAACAGTCTCCGAGACAACTTGATCCAGTTCTGTCAGTATTTGCAGCTTTCAAGGCTTCACATAACAGTAAGTGTTATGTAGATTTCTCTGATACAGGCAAATTTGCAGACAGAAAAAATACACCCCCCGAAGTACAAGTGCAGATTTTTCCTGCAAATTGTAGGAATAACAATATATTTCAGCCTTCAGGAGGTATACTGTAAAGTTTGATTTATTGAGACTGACATATATACAGCAGGTGACAAGGAGTAAATAGGAGTAAAGTGGCCTTTTCCCAGGTATAGCACTGGGGCCTGCCATGGATTTGTACACAGAACCTTCAGATTCTGAGTCAAACCTAACCACAAGACCACCTTGCTACTAAATGTACAAATAACATCTTGTTCTCATTCTGACATTGCCAACAGATTCAAAATGTCTCAGTCCATCAGAAAAGAGAACAATCCTGTTTATGATACAAACCATCCAGAGGAGCCGACAAGCCTAGGAAAAAATGAACAAGATAATATACCCTCTTATCAGAATGTGCTGTACACAGAAAGCACTACTACAGAGCCAACAAGAATGTCAACATGTGGCCAAAACTCTGCCAGTAGTCAAGGACAAGACAGGTTGGAGGCTACGTATGTAGCGGGCAATGACGTCGAACATGCAACCACCAATGAGCATTATTATATGGCAGATAATAACACCCCAGAGGTCGCTGATGTATATTCTGTATCTGATCCGATCCATGCTGAAAGCTCTGCCATGTACACGGCCTCAGGGGAAAATGAAGAAGATGGTAACTCTATTGGAAACAGTGAAAAAGAACAGCAAAACACTGAAAACATTAAGCAAGCAGACAGTACAGTGACCATGAATTTCAACTCCAACAGAAAGGCTAACAAATCTCAGCCTGACACCACCGTACATGTACACAAGCTTTGCAATCCTAAAATAAACCCAGCAGATCTTCTTCAAAATCCAATGTACAGATCAAACCCAAAACCTCACGGTAAGATGGCCATCCAAGCAGACAGTACAGTGAATGATGAGTGTGACATGCAACCTTACGCTGTTGCAGACATGTCCGACCACGAAGCGTACCTCAGCGCAACAACAAACGTTCGCCAACAAGCTTCAAAGGCAGACAGTACAGTAACTGATGATGGTGACATGGAACCTTATGCTGTTGCAAACATGTCCGATCACGAAGCCTCATCTCAGAGGTTCAACAAATGTTTGCCAACAGGCTTCAGATGACTCTAGTCATGAGACCACCGTACATGTACACAAGCTTTGCAATCCTCCAATAAGCCCAGCAGATCTTCTTCAAAATCCAATGTACAAATCAAACCACAAATAGGCCAATAAACTTCATGGCAAGATGGCCATGCAAGCACACAGTACAGCAACTGGTGATGGTGACATGGAACCTTACGCTGTTGCAAACACCGATCACGAGTCCTATCTCAGAGGTTCAACAAACGTTCGCCAACAAACCACTGAACTCCTACACAAGCTTCGCAATCCTCCACATGCAAAGGAACTTAATATGAATCCGATGTACATACCAAACTTCCAACAGGCCAACAAACTTTGGGGTAGGATGACAGTCATACATTCTGTAAAGTTTCATGACACTCTATGTCTAGCTTGTTGTTTAGGCCACAGCAAGCAAATTTTATGGATGACATCCTCCACAGACACCAAATCTAATGCGATAGGGCAAAAAAACAAGATTCTTTCACTTTCAAATTTTGAGGTCATAAGCCTTGTTAAAAAATAATTAAGGTGACAAAACACAACCAATCTGATAATCTGTAACTAGAAAGGTAACATTTGCAAGGTGATGCATAATTCAAAATAATTACCTTCGCAAATGGTCTGCTCTGTTAATTCTTACTCAAACACATTTCATATATATGGTCTGACAGGAGTCTAAATCCCTCCTGATATGAAACTGCAACATGATGTAACCCAACACACTGAATTGTTCATTACTAACTGTTAAGTTTCTGGGGTTTCTGTGTAACTCTTCTTTAATTTCATATTTTATCAATGTTTTCTGCTTCTTAATTTCCTGCTTATTTGTGCCACTCATATGTTTTTTCTAAGAAAAACTGCTAATGAAAAAATTTTAAAAGGTTGTTTTGCAGAGAATCGAAAATGCTTTCTCGTTGCTTTTGGGGTTGTCCTGCTTCTGGTGGGAGTAATCACCACCGGACTCATCATAGGATGCTCTCACAACACCCAAGGTCTGCAAAAGGTAAGGTCAACATCTTTGTCTGGGCTCAATTTTACACCATAAGTTAAGGTCTTATTGGATCTTTCTGAAAATATTTGAAAAAAAAATGAAAAGAAAAACAGAAAAAATGAAAAGAAAAACAGAACCTATGCATCCTCTGATTAGCCAAAAAAATTAATCTGAATTAAGCTAGGTAGGTATGAAATCACTACTCTGTGAACGTTAATATTAGTACATAAAAGAACATCACAACAAAAAGAAAAGGATACAGAGAAGGCAGAGGACAAATAATCATGAGACAGAATTTGGTAGGCTGCTTTCAGCATGTCAGCCCCTCTACAATCAAGACATACATATACTATAGAGTGAATCAATTTTAATAGGACCCATGATGTCACCGCAGTCTCCTCGTGGAATAGGCAGGCATCAAACGTGAACATGGATTTGGATCAAATATCACCCCTACCTGTGCGGGACTGGTAGAAACCAATGGATCACCTTTTGAAAATAGGATTTTGGGTTGAAAGGCACCAAAACCGAAAATATTAAATGTCCTTTAAATTGGAATTGCCTTAAATAATATTGTTTCAATTACATACGTATTACTCCCATCAAGTAAACTAGTAGAAGAATACTGCAACAATAATACTGCAAGAATAAAAAAGGAAATAAAAGTTCAGAGCTCGAAATTTATATTTGGCAATATTGTAGGTGCACAGAAATAAGTCTAGGGGCAGTGCAACATAAAATGAGGATGTCAGAAAATCATATTTAAAAAAAACATACTTCGAGTCTACTGTCTCTCTTTAGAGCTTCAAATAAAATTTTGCAGCTGGCTTTAAAATATCTTAAACAAGTGATGTAACGAATATTTCATGATAATATTTTTCTTGACACTAAATGTCAAGAATAAACTACAATGATATTTTTTTCATTTTTTTCCAGACTAAGCAAGCAGTTAAGAACTTGAGTACACTGAATGCAACAAAACCGATACTTGTAACTACCATCAGGAGCACTGACGGTACCAACTCACCCAGCATTGGTGGTATCAATGGTACCAACCAGCATTGGTGGTATCAATGGTACCAACCCACCCAGCCTTGGTGGTATCAATGGTACCAACCCACCCAGCCTTGGGACCACTGATGGTACCACCGCACCCAGCCTTGGGACCACTGATGGTACCACCCCACCCAGCCTTGGTGGTATCAATGGTACCTACAAAAGTAAGACTTAGTATAATCATGTATTAAAAACTGGTACAATGTACTGTACAATACGATTAGGTTGGTTGCTTTATACTTTTCAAATTTCAGGTAAGATTCTATAAAATTTTTAGCCTGGTTACATGTACCAGGGCTCAAAATACTGGGTGCATGTGCACCTTAGTGCACCCAAATATTGTCAGAAAAAATAATGAAATCATTCTTATAGTACTTTTCTCTAGAAACGAAACATACCTACAAGTAGTAGTTAGTTTTTGCTGACATTCTACTTAGTTTATTTTTGGTGCACCCAAACATTTTTTTTGTGCAGTGTAATATTTTAGGTTGGGTGCACTATTGCATCTATGCCAAAAAATGAATTTGGAGCCCTGTATCACTGATGCAGGAACGACCTGTGAAGAGGAGAATATGCGACTGTCTTGTGCAGCGAATGAGCTGATCGTGATCGATGATGCATTCTACGGTCGGAGGGAAAACGGTCCTCGCTGTGGATGTAAACTGAACTCTTGTGACACGTGTAAAGATGACAATGGCAGGTAGGAGCACCATAACTGATCTAATCCCACCCCTATAGCTAGCAGCCCTCTGAAGGGTATGTCCACTTGTAGAAGCCTGTGTTTACACAATCTCTTACTCACTGGCAACAACTATTGGGTGGGCTGGCCAATAGGAGTGTGATTTAGTCAGGTGAGGTTCTCTACAGGCTTGATGGCAAATATAAGCTTTAGTCGTAACATTCTTTCTTTGTTGGGAGGAGTAATCAGACTTGATTATTCAGTTCCTCTTAACTACATGACTTTGTACTTTCTATCAAATATTTGTCTTGTAATTTTTTCTCTTGGTATTTAATGTGTATAGAAGTTGTACATGTATAACACTGTGTAACTTGAGATGTCTTGTATCAATACTATCATAAATATTGGAGAAAAGCATGTATGACATTTGTAAAATTCACAGCTGTCTGATTTTTACATAAGCCTTAAGCTATTCATATGGGTCAACTTAATGAACATTAGCTTAATTCAATTACAATAACCAATGGTTTTAACATGCTTCTCATATTTTGTAACAGGCAAAATGTGTTCCTGGCCTTGATAAGGCGGCAATGTCAGGGGTTGCAACAGTGTGATAGGCAAATAAACAATATCACCCTTCCCCACCCTTATGTACACTGTCCGGGCATAAAGAAGTACCTGGAAGTAACATACCACTGTGAAGGTGGGTACAAATATCTACTTCTCTTCTTCTGGTAGCAGTATGTGCCTTAAGCATGATCAGGTACAGGTACAGTGGTTAAGGTTCAGGACCTGTACCTAAACAACTGTGGCCAATTAACAGTCTAGTTTTATGATCATGTCTTTTCAGTGGTGAATTAATTGATTCTCATAGTATGAGGACTTACTTATCTTCATCTCAAAATGATACTATCTACAACTTTTCCTAATTTTGAAGGGCTAAACTGTTGAGACTTGCAGTAGTATCTTATTTATCTACATGTAATATCATATCTATCTACCTATTTATTTCTCCCTCTATATCTATCTTAGGCCACACCAATTTAAAATTGTTGGTTCTCAGATTTTTTCAGACAAAATATGAAGTGGCAGGGCGAAAAAAAAACAAGTCTTGGCATCCTATTAAAGCCTCAAATGCAACGATAGGAGCCATGAAGTCAACACAAAAGGATGGGTTGATATTCAAACAATGACTATCCATCCAACTATCGATCTATCAATGTACATGAATCTATCTAATATATCTTATAGTCTAAAAAGTGGTGGCCACCACACTAAGCGTTTTACTAGCAGAAGTGAAAAAGAACGTCACCTTTGGCCTGACAGTTTACGACAGAGTGGAAGGACTGGCCGTGTCCTCAACTAACGAGATATTTGTGGCTGACGAGCTCAACAAAAGAATCCAGGTCTTCAGCATGAAGGGAGATTTTCTTCGCAGTTTCTCCACAGGAAATATGAAACCACAAGCGGTATGCATAGGCCACAATGACACCCTGTGGATTGTATTGTACAGAGGTCTCATGAACCAACGTTCCACGTACGAAAATGTCATCCAACAGTACAGCAAAGACGGCCATGTCCCTGCCAAATTCACATGCAGCAGCACTAGTAAAAAACAAATCTATGGGATTGCCTGGCACAAGCTTTCTAACAGAATCATACTGACTCTAGGACAGGTCGAGGTTCTGTGGTTTAGTCCTTCTTACACACCGACACCAGCATGTAACATGACCAGGTTGCCAGCAGCAGGGTTTATAATGCCACATTCTGTAACCGTAGACACGAAAGGGAACATCTATGTTATAGAAAGTACTGGCTCTCGTATTAATAAGTATGACAAGAACGGAGTCTACCTGTCCAGTTTTGGTAGTAGAGGTACTGGAGCAGGGAATCTTTATTTCCCCGAAGGTATCTGTGTGGACAGTTCGGGGCGTGTGATTGTGGCTGATAGTAGGAACAGCCGAGTGGAGATGTTCACAGCTGAGGGAAACCACATCCGCACCGTAGCTTACATTAATCAACCCAAGCATGTTGCTACAGGTGGGGAGGGGCAGCTTTTGGTTAGTCAAAAGTGGTCTGTAACCATCTTGCCCAAATATTAGGGACACCCCAATTCATCAATATTGCTGTGATTTTCAGACATTCTTGATGGCCTGCATGGGGGGTAGTGGTTATGAATTACGCAAAATTTTCGCGGCCGATGACGAATTATGTTCTCACAGCTGATTATGACTTTACGCATTGCGGCTGATGAATATTACGAAATACGTTAATCTGTGGGGTGGCTGCCTGGGGTGGCTGCCTATGGATTACGAAGACTAAAATAGCCTGATTTACGCCTTACGAAAAAGGGCATGCAGGCCCCGATTCTCAAATACAAATGCAACAAGAGGACAAGATAAACAGCTGACACTGAGAGGAAAAGTTGAGTCTGAATGAGGAACGATTTAAGAAATACAGAAAAGAAGATTAAGAACCACTCACTACCTTAAGAAGATGGAGCACGTCTCCCAAGGATGAAACTCACCCAAATCTGTAACTCCATCCTGTCCACTGATGGCCGCCATCTTGGATTTGGAACACCTGCCACACAGAGTTGCACCCTGGGTACTGCCTGTTCCTGTCACCACCTGTTGTCAGAGAAGGTTTTGTAAGTTTAATCATCATCATCATCATCATAGTGACCTTCTAGGTTGGGAGCATCAAGAAGGCTGACTGTGTATTCTACATGTATAAAGTGGCACTGGACATACATGTTGTATGTAGTTCAAATCCTGGCTGTTGTTGCTGCTCACTCAACATGCACACTACTGGAAAGGGTTACAGGCCTTAGGATGGGACGTTCAGCCATGCCAATGGTCTACTGTTCATTGTGCTTTGGTACAAAAGAGCTAAATAAACAGGAATTCCCCCAGTACAATGAACCTGTAAATACTGTACATAGCATCTGTCTTCTCTGTCATGCTCAGTGGTAGAATTAGTTTTCACTGGATCAAGATGATGATTTTGTATTTGTAGTGGCCAATCAGGCCATGAACAGGCAAGTACACATAATTCATACTACATAACTACAAAATGTTTAATCAACTTCTTTTCCAGGGCCCGACTGTAAAGCAGTGTTAAATCACTGAGCGGGCTACCCTGGCTGATGAAAAGAAAAGAATAGAAAAAAAACTGTGAGCCATTATTTGGTCAGTGATTTGGTGTATTAATTACCACATTGGCCTGATTTAATTTATGTACATTTGTATATAGATTATCAGCCTAGGGACTCGAAATACTGGGTGCATGTGCACCTTGGTGCACCCAAATTTGGAGCTCTTCACCCAATTTTTTTCTTTGGGTGCACCAGTGCATCCAAATATTTTTGTAGGTTTTAACGTATGTCACGATGTTAAATGTACAGTAGTATACAGCATAATCATGATATCTAAGTGTCAGAAAATAATAAAATCGTTCTTGTATGACTTCTTGTAATGTTTCCATGGTGCACCCGAAAACATTTTTGTGCACCCAATATTTTAGGTTGGGTGCACCAGTGCACCTATTCCCAAATCTGAATTTCAAGCCCTGATTATGGGTTCACCACACCACGAAGTGGTGGTGAACCCATATTGCTTTTTCTGATGTTTCTTCTTCTTCTTCTTCTCCTGCCATTTTTTAAATGGATTCAGCTTCTTCATTTTAGGGCCTAAGGTCCTGAAATTTGGTATGGAGGTACAGTGGGCAAATACCCCTAGGCGTTTTTTAAATTTTTGTGATACAGGCTTTTAGAATGGTTTTATTTGAGTTTTTTGGGCTGTGTTATAGCAAATGTATTACTGTGTTAGTGTGCCGTGTTTACCACGTCTGGGCATGAGTCATCACAATGGAATGCAGGGCATCAACCAATAGGCATGCAGCTTTCCTCTATACTTCTTGCTGATTGGCTGTTGGGATTTAACTTGATTAACACCTGCACAGAGCATTTCCACCTGCACAGAGCATTTCTTGCTGATTGGCTGTTGGGATTTAACTTGATTAACACCTGCACAGAGCATTTCCATACTGACAGTATGTCTTTATTCAAGTGTTTTGGTAGGTATTTCAAGCTTTTCTGCTCCAGCATTGGAATGCGGGGCATGAACGTTTTTTTTTTATTTTGAAAATCAACAGTTTGCATTATGCAATTAAAAATCCTAACCAATAAAGTAGGGAATAGCTATCCAACTGTTGTTTTAGTTGTATGTTACTTCATATTATAGTTATATCAATGTAAATCATTGTTTTCCCTTGTGTTTCTCATTCTTTCCCTGCCATGTCGTAAAATGTGGTGAACCCATCGCTGTATTTGCTCCAAAGCAAATATTGGCCTTTCTAGTTATACTATAAATTATAGTCTATAGTTTATAGACTTAATGGCCTGAGTTCAGTCAGTGACTTTATCACACCTTCAGTAGCTACTGCTTACAATAGATGTTATAGAAAATAAAGGTGTATTTGATAGAAATACTACCATTGCCTTTAGGTTGCTCATTTGTCAGAATTTTATCTACTGTATTTATTCATTTCATCACAAGACAACATTTGTGTTATGAAAGTTAATTTCCAAGAAGACCCAGTAAGGCTATGATGATTTGATTATATGGATGACATCCTCTGGGAACCCCAAAACTGATGCGCGCGTATGAATAAAAAAAAGTTTGGCAAAAAAAAGTTGCTTTCATTATGGTCATGAAGGTTGAACAAATGACACAGAATATGGTTGGGTGGATAATCTACCCTTCAAATTCCTTTCTTTATTTTTTTCGTTTGATTTTGGCATTCTACGACATTGGCATCATTTTTATTTTGCAACTTGATATTTTTGCTCATTCTGCAACTGTTTTGTACGATTTACAGTATGGCTGAAAACTTTTTTTTATTCATGCGCGCGTGGATGTCATCCATATAATCAAATCAACATGCCCTAAATACAGAACAAAATGTATGGGGGTATGTTGTATTCAGTGTGGTGCAATAAAAATGCTTATTGTCCAATATGTTTTGTTTTAGTTGAACTTCTTGCTTCAAAATTATCAAAAGATTCTGACTTTCTTAGTTCTAGTTTAGTAAAGTATAGCTTCATTCCTGCAACCAAGCTCACCAGACAACAGTCACCATAGTCCCTGTATAGGATGCTACGGTCTTGTTTTGGATGCTAATTCTAATGTTTTGCAAAATTTATCTCTTCATTTTCCTATTTCAATTCTAATTTTTTGCAAAATTTATTTCTTCATTTTCCTATTTCAACTTCCCAAATTTCATTAGTCCAGTGACTTTTCTCCATTAAGTAAATTTGAGGTTTTTATAAATACCAAATGACATCAATGACAGTGCTGAAAAGGAATTTCAGTACAAGGAAGATATGTTGAAACCAAAGAAGGCCTCCCAAAAGCTTGAAAAATCTTTATAAGCCAAAAGGTGTTATAAATATTAAAGGCAACACCAAGTTAATTTGTTGGTTTTATAAGAAAAACATTAAAAATTGCTCTGATGGTAAAGCCATTTCAGAGGCAACACATATTTTACAATGTATGAAGCAAGACGTAAATGAAGCTATAGAGCTTATTCAACACACGTCATCATGACGTCATGACCCCTCATGTCCCGTGCGACGACGTTTTGCGGTGCATCTCTACAGCGAGTTTCCAAGCGTTGAAATGGCCGACAAACGTTCGGTAAACTGTCCTTTGTCCTATTACACGAAGAGTTTACCACCACTCATACCTCTCGTTACTGAAACAAAATAAAATCTGTTGGGATTGACCCGTTTCTGTTGAGTTTTGATCAGTCTGATCGAGACGGCGTCTACGGCCAGCGGAGTCCATTGATGCGACTTAGCTTCGTATTTGGTACTGGGCAGATGTTTTTACACACAGGATCGGTTCAAACCCTCTAAGAGTCTGGAAGCGTTGTATCAGGATGTGTAGAGAGTGTTGTGGGACATGCAGTTGCGTGGTGACAAGTATGTTGTAGTCGGAATACGCAAAAGGTCGCTATTTTGGAACAGCCCCGGACTGAGTCTGGATAATAACAAGCAAAGGCTGCGGGGGCCATCGGCCGCCTTCCTCAGTCCGCACTGCCGCGACTGTGGCTAGACAAGGTGAGTGTTACAAGTTGCCATCGCCCTGTTCTACATGGACATTTACCACAGAGTAAAGGGACAAGTAGCTCCAACAGATTTACCGTGTTCATGGCTACCCACGTTGCCATCTACATGTACAGCCCCCTACACCAGGGTAAAACACATCGATTTCTGGTCAGCAAAAAAAGATAAAAGCCGATCTTGAGAACATGAGACGTGGACATGAAGCCAGAACAACCCCAAGGACAATGTTAGAACAAGAAGAGTGTTCAAAACGTAGATTGTGGCCCAAAATACGCAACTATCGCCAAGAGTTTGCAAAACGTACCATATATAGCGATAGGCACCATGCTGCACCCCAAAATGGCGGACAATGCTCGTTGCCCGGCGGAAGAGTCACGTGACAATCTGTGGTGAATAAGCCCTATTGAAATGTTCTTGGTAATGATGAGAGGCATCTTGTACATGTATGATTTCAGAACACTATAATCCTATTGGCTGCCAGGATCCCACCCCAACATAGCAGCTGGACCAGGGAATGACACGTTGCACAAATTTCACAAGTTTTGAATAGGCCACGTCAATACAGTTTCCTGGTTCTTGACATTAAAAAAATGAGTAACTGCATTTAGTATGAACAGGAGTTCAGCACCAAGGGCAGGTACTACACATTAATTCAAGTGGCTGAATTTTTGATAAAAATGTCAGAGAAGCAAGGAAATACATTGGTATAGAAAAAGATGAATAAACATCTATGCAACTCAAGGCTTGGCAAGATCAGATGAGATGAAAGATAGAAGTTCAATGTGTGCACGCCAACGACAGTTTTTCATCTACTTATTAGTCTACCAGTTGAGACAACCCCACCTAAGTTGGGAGCACCACACCTCAAATTCACCCAGCGCCGGCCGGAGAAAACCTGTTTTTCCTGACCAGAAATTTTGCCAGGAACAGTCTTCGAGACAACTTGGTCCAGTTTTGTCAATATTTGCAGCT